TACCTCTGACAATCAACTTATCAATCCTTATTAATAGGATGATAGGTTCTTAAAATTTCTCAAATCGCAATCTTCCCCAATAAGACACTAAGTCTTCAAAATCTTATTCAAATCACAAGTATCAAAATTTATCGCTTCTGGTGATAAACTCATCTTATTCAAATCACAAGTATCAAAATTTATCGCTTCTGGTGATAAACTCACCTAGCAAGTTTCCCCAACGAGACGCTAATTCCCAAAATCTTGTGCAAGTCACAAGTACACATTCTCTTGTCATGTTAATATCACACCTCTAATAACCCACTTATCAATCCTCTTCAATAGGATGATAAGTCCACAAATTTGCTCCGATCACAACAAATTCATGTCACGTTAATATCACATCTCTGACAAATCAACTTATCAATCCTCTTCAATAGGATGATAAGTCCATAAAGTTTCTCAGATCGCAATAAATTCCCGTCATGTTAACACCAAACCTTTGATAATTAACTTATTGACTCTCGTCAATAGAGGGATAGGTCCTCAAGGTTACTCCGATCACAACAAATTCCTATCACGTTAATATCACACATCTGACAAATTAACTTATCAATCCTCTTCAATAGGATGATAAGTCTACAAAGTTGCTCCGATCGTAACAAATTCCCATCATGTTAACACCAAACCTCTGACAATTAACTTATCGACTCTCGTCAATAGAGCGATAGGTCCTCAAGGTTGCTCCGATAGTAACAAATTCTTATCACGTTAATCCCACACCTCTGACAAAATCCATTTATTGACTCTCGTCAATAGAGCGATAGGTCCTCAAGGTTGCTCCGATCGTAACAAATTCTTATCATGTTAATCCCACACATCTGACAAAATTCACTTATCGACTCTCCCTAATAGAGTGATAGGTCCTCAAAATTACCCCAATCGTAATATTCTTCTTGTCATGTTAATATCATACCTCTGAAAAAATCAACTTATCGACTCTCTTTAATAGAGCGCTAGGTCCACAAACCTGTCAAGTTAACATCACACCTCTGACGACTAAATCAACTTATCGACACTCTTCAATAGCGCGATAGGCCCATAAAATATTGTTAGGTTAACATTACACCTCTAACAGCCAAACCCCCCCAATAAACTTGTTAATCCTTTTTTTCTGATAAGAATAGCAAGTTTTTATTATAAAATCCTCAGCAGATTAAAGATTTTCTGGAATTATCCTAGTGATAACCAAGAAAATTTCTGAATTTCACTCTAAGTAAAAATTCATGCCAAGTTAATACTACACCTCTGGCACTTCTAACTTTCTTTCAGTGTTTTAAGTGAAAATATAACACAAGAAGAAATAGTGACAAAGTCTATATATTTAATATCGTAGCCAGTGATTATCATTAAATTAATAATCTCTGAATCCATACATCGCGTGTATAGGGAATTCTATCCCGAATCCTAAGTAGGGATAAGTCAACACCTAATACACGTTGCCGGTTAGTCTTTAACTATAAAAAGGACAAAAACCCATGTATTCAACATTATGGTAGGTCGTTATTAATAACACTAAAATCCATGCCTTACACACATGGGGGACTCGATCCATAAATAGAGATAAGTCTGCATCTCACACATGCTGTCGGGTGGTCCATTCTCGTGAAAATGACCAAGTCTACGTATTCAACATTGTAGCACCAAAATTCCATGTCTTTCATGTATGGGGGATGTTATCTCGATCCCTAATTAGAGATAAGTCTACGCCTAACACGTATTGCCAGTTAGTTTTTTTCGTAAAAATAACAAAGTCTATGTATTCAAAATCATAGCATCAAGTCTAAGAGGGTTCATTCTCTTAGCACAACATTATATCTAGAACTGATTTAGACAATCCACATGTTAGCCCGACTCAAACGATAGTCGGTAAAGGCTTATCAAATCTATTGATGGCTGAGGGTTTGCCAAAAATCCTATGCATGTTTGTAGGCCCATTAGCTTAATGGATGTGAGCCGAGATTTGAAATAGATGAGCTAAAGACAAGTCTCAAAGACTTAGTCAAAAATACATAAAAGTCACTTCTGTGTCTCAAGTCAAAATGCTGAGGGCAGACCTGCGATGCAAAAACCACAACGCCAAGGTCACACCGGGGTTCCAAATTTAAAATGCAAGAGTGAGACCCGCGCCTCAAGTTCAAACGCTGGGGTCCACCCCCCGCATTCCAGAAGTAGGATTAAGATGCATACCTTCATATAGGTCCTACGTGTCAAATCCCTTCAACTAAGATGCCTTTGAAGCGAGTGCAGAGAATGACTCCTTTATGACAAGGAATCAACAACTCCAAGATCAGAGTTGAGATCCAAAGTATTTCAAAAATTCGTCCCAATCAACCGCGAACTTTCGAAAACTTTAAATGGGGTTATGTAGGTTGTCTAAAAATCACAATAGATAGTTGATCCCCTATCAAACACCAATGATGGAAGTTATAATCTGATGACTTCCAGAAGGCTATAATTTGAAGACTTTCACATAGATCGATAAAGAATATAATCTGATGACCTTCATAACAACCGATGAAAGCTCTAGTTCAACAGCCTTCATAATCAACATCAGGGGTTACAATCTGACGACCCTTATATTTTCAAGGAGCCAAGATGAAGATTATAAGATGACGGTCTTTACAACGCTCGAGCAAAAGAGACCACAAATTAATGGTCTCTTCACATCAAAACGCAGAGGTCATCCCTGCATTTCATCAACAAAACGCAGAGGTCATCCCTGTGTTATAACATCAAAACGCAGAGGTCATACCCACGTTCTAGAGTCAAAATACAGAGGCCATCCCCAGTATTCAAGTCCAGACGCAGAGTTCATGGACTCAAAACACAGAGTTTATGCAGAGCCCAACTCTGCGTCCTAGGTCCTAAACGCAGAGTTTATCTCTGCGTCCCAACTCTGCGTTTCAGATTTACAACGCAGCACGACCTGTGCGTTCAACCACCAAAATAGGCCCAACTCTGTGTTTTAAGTCTAAAACACAGAGTTCGGGCCCTGAACGCTATTTTTCAGCATTTAACTCGTTTAAAGCATGAACTGAATGGTTTGAAAACCGTTTTCCCCACGATTTGGGAAGCTGTTTAAAGGGGTGGTTACACCTCATTCAGCCCTATTTATGAGCGAATTAAGGCGGCGGTTATACCCCTGAATCCTCTCTAAACAGGAGTAAACTCAACTGAGTTTGGATCTTAGAGTATCTTGGAGATCTAGAGATCGGCTTCTTCGGATCATCTTCGAGCTTCCTGCAGCAGATCATCCTCGAGCTTTCTATAGCAACAAAGTTCTTGGAGCATTCCCTTAGCTTACAAACCGATTTCGGTTAAATTAACTCTTTCATAGAGTTTCAAACTCGTCCAGAGTTCTAACACTTGCTTTGCAAGTTCTCTACAGTGTCAAATCGTAAGGAGAAGATACCGTTCCAGGGAAGCGAAACATTGGATCGTTAATGGAGAGCAAACTCGATGCGAGTATTCGAGGGAGGCACTCCATCACCACCGTGAAGAACCCAGAATTAAACAAAGGCGAGAATTCGGATCAATTTTCCTCTCTTTTATAATCAGGAAATCCAAATTGTATTCGAGATTGAGAGAGTTGTAAACATTCTTTTTCTGAGTCTGTCAGAGAGAATAAATCAAATAGAATTCTTTCATCTTTTTCTTATTACAAATTTTCCAACAAACATTGGTGTTTGTGTGATTTCCTTAGAGCCGAACAAGTGGTTTCAGTACAACACCAAATAGGGGCCTCTGGCTCTCCTTGATCAGTGGGTGATGAGCCCATATATATACCTAGATGAGAGGGGTAGAAGTGTAACTCTGGTCAAGCTAGGCTAACAAATAAATCGACAGGTAGCTTGACAGGTGTCGATTGCCTATGCGATGAGTCACTGTTGATTTGATATGATGGCAACTAAAGAGGTACCAAGGGAATGAGTCATGAAGACTCATGGCATGAGCAATGATGATGAAAGATAGCTGTTGGTGTGGAGTTTGAGGATAAACTGCCTCTCGATCCGGCACTACGAGCAGGTTATAAGTACCATCTTTTTTGTCAGTGTTGCAAGTTATCAACCAGGCTTTGAGTGAATGAGGATGGTCGACTTGAATGATGAGGTCGAGTGAGAACTTGTCTCGACTCGGCCTGGCTTAGGAAGGGTTGAGTGCCTTGGCTACCCAAGGGTGAGCTAATTTGATGACAATATGGGACACATGTTTACTCTAATAGGAGGATTTGCACTTAGTATAATTATGTCATAACATTGGGCCCTTTCGCTCGAACATGGGGTAGCCGAGTCTGAGCAAAATAGGACTATAGCTTCGCTAAGTTCCGAGGTGCATTTATGAGGGGTGCTGAAGAGTCTCTTCGGATGTGATGTTGCTGATGTTAGAGGATAATTCTAGGCTACCACCATATTGATTCTCGTGTGAGGATTGCAGGATAATTAAGACAAGAGATGCTTTGGTTCTGGAGCCATTGCCTCATATTCTATGAATGATCTCGGCCGTTGGCTAGGAACTAAGTCGATCACTACAATCTTACCACCTGTCGGCCCTTCTGTCTGTAAGTATGACTATTTAGATGTGAGAAACTTTGCCATTCACACAAATTTCCTAGACTCTTTGACTACAAAAGAACTCTGACCTTCAGATCTTCTTCTCCAGCAATCTCAAGCTCTAGAGAGAGTTGGAGGCCCAGAAGGCCGACCTGGAGAAGGTTCTTCTATTGTTAGCTGCTAAGGAGGATGAAATTGGCATCTAGAAGTGGAGTGAGGACAAATAGTGTCCAGAGGTAAAGATGCGGGGGAAGATGATTGACATATTGAAGACTTTGAATAGCAAGAAGTTGGTCAAGATCAACAAGCATAAGGAAGACCTTGGCCATCTCGAGCATGAGCTCCATGAATAGAATGATAGAATAAAATATCTACCCTAGAAGGTTGTGGCCAAGAAGTGAGAGAGGAATGACGCTAGCTCAATTGGATTGCCTGGCTACTTGGAGCTTGCACGCCGAGCTGAAGGAGGAGCAGATAGCTCATAAAAAGCTCAGGGAGGAGAGCACACGTGCTGCACGGGAGGTCGAACAGTAGTACGAGTCATCCCGTGCTGAGATCTAGGCCTTGCAAGGCTACCTCATTCATCTAGAGTTTGAGGCCCATTAGTTCAAGATTGCTGAAGGCTAACGCCACAACACTCTTAGATAGGTGGAGGTGGTGCTAACTTGCAATGCTGGCTATGACTACCTCGAGGCTCAACTTCCAAACGATATCAGGAATGACCCCGACCACTTCTATTATCCTCCGAGGGTGGCCAGTTACCCTTGATGCACTTTAGGAGATTGAGAAGCAAGAAGGGGGACTTACACTTGATGGCGGGGATGGTGACGAGGATGACGAAGAGTCGGTTGAGGAGACAGGTGAGGACTCGGCTCATGATAGTTGGGTGAGTCGATCGAAGGGAGAGGAGGTGAAGAGGTCAAGGCTGAGGTCAAGTCGACTCCACTTCCAACTGGCACTATTGCTACTCCTCCGAGTCTAACTCCTGCTGTTGGTATGGATCTGCCTACATCTCTTAGTCATGCTCATCTTCTGAGCTACCCCCTTAGGAGCCCTAATGTATCTTCTCTTTTTTTTTGCAGTACTTTTTTGTAGTGTAAATACTTTCTCATATATGAATAAAAAAGATAGTTTGTCAATTTGAACTATGTACGTTTAAGATTATGTTCATGTTGTATATTAAGAGTTTGCAATCCGATTTGAGTACAAGTTTGCTTTTGAGTCAAGGCAACTTTGTTACGTGTATGGCGTGTAGGATGACTCGTCTTCATGCCTTGGATTTACTCGCGATGACACCAAGGTCTTGAGTGCCTTACACTTAGGAAGATGCCAAGATCTTTTTGTCTTGGGTTTATCCTGAATAGGTACCAAGGACTTTTTCTTGATGATGAACCTTGGTTTTACTCATGAATATGATATGAAGGTCTTTATCATCGGAGTTGACTGAGTTGATGATGTGCCTTAGTTTTACCCTGAATAGGTACCAAGGACTTTTTGTCGAAGGTGTGCCTTGGTTTTACTCATGAGAATGATACCAATGTCTTTATTATCGGTGTTAACCGAGTTGATGAATGTCGAGTGGCGAAAACTACATAGAGGTACATACCATAAAATTATCTTATTTAAGAGAGCATCTTTAATTTGATTGCCTTGACGAGTTTTTCTAAAGCTGTATTATGACCAACTTGTCATTATATCCTTACAGTGAAATCTCTTAATTGTCGTAGAGCTTAGATGGAGATGACAACTTCTTACTCTAATGCTTGAATATAGGGGATGGTCCATTAAAGAGAGACAAAGAGGTCCCATGGTGGGCCCCAGGGATAATGTCCTGGGACTCAGCAGTGAGATTAATAGATAATCCTGAGTCAGCAATGGGGCTTAGGGTGGATATGGAGGAAGTGTATTCCCTCATCCCCTCAGGCGACTGATCCCCTGTTTAAGATAAGTGAGCTACAAAATAGACACGTTAGAGGACAAGAGTTGGGTTCTCCGGTGATTCCTCCAACAGTCAATTAAGTATAAAGCTTGTGTGGAAAATTAATAAACTGAATAAGTTCTAAAATATGTAGACGATGAAACTAATTAGCCAAGAATGGCATACTGTGGCCCCAAGGGGGTCTCTGGCTCTTCTTGATCAGTGGGTGATGAGCCAATATATATACCCATCTGAGAGAGGGTAGAAGTGTAACTCTGGTCGAGTCTAGGCAGATAGCTGAATCGGTAGGTAGTTTGACTGGTGTCGATTGCCTATGCGATGAGTCATCATTGATCTGATGTGATGGAGACTGAAGAGATACGTGAGGAGGAGGATGAGTCATGGATACTCGTGGCATGAGCAAGGATGATGATGAAAGAAGGCTGTTTGTGTGGAGTTCGAGGACAAACCGCCTCTTGATTCGGCTCTACGAGTAGGATGACAAGTACCCTTTTTTATCAACCTTGCAAGTTGTTGACCCAACTCTGACTGAATGAGGGTGGTCAACTTGAATTGTGAGGTCGAGTGAGAGCTCATCTCGACTCGGCCTGGCTCAAGATGTGTCGAGTGCTCTCACTACCTGAGGGTGAGCTGATATAATAATAATATGGGACATGTGTCGAATCCAAGAGGAGGATTTGCACTTGGTATAATTATTATCATAACAGATATTAAGTAGTTTGTGAGATGATATATTTTAGGAATAAACAGATATAAACAAGTTGCGACTCGAAATGATGTAAAAATCAACACCAGGCTTGATTTTAGCCTATTAAACATTAATGGTCTTGAGGCACCATCAAAGGTCACATGTGCCATCAATGGACTACAGTAAACATAATATATATTTCAAAAATGAGAAATTGAACCATCAATGGACTACACTCAACCATCAATGGTCGCTTCAATCATCGATGGACTATAGTTGACTGTTTGCGTAGAAAATTGTTTTCTTTATTGTATAACTCATTACAACTTTGATCGTTACAATAAGTTCAAAAAGATCGGTCTTTTTATAAGACTCTTTACATAATGAAAGAAATAAAAATTATAACTCTATCAAATAAACGTAGAGAGATCGTTTATCGGTCTTCTGTTTATGCGGGATCTTTGCCTATGCTGGGGACGTCAATATCCGTGGATCACCTTTGATATGGATCCGATTGATGGAAAATTCGGTAGGGCTTCGCCTTCGCCGAGGAAGTATTTAATTTGAAGCACTGAGATCGACCAAGCGAAATCAGTACTCTTCTCGAGATTAAGACCAAGCCTAATCTCAAGGAACGGTGGAATCGGGCTTTAGATCTTTCGAATAGCTCCTTCTTTATGCTGGAGTTCGCCGGGATCTCGCTAACCCTCGTTGAAATTCGTGGCTCTTAGCTCTGGAGTTCGACAGCACCTCCTCGTCTTGATAATAAATCTGCCCCTGTGAAATAAACCCATAGGCCTGTACTTATAGGCTTCGGTTGGGGGGTTTTCGGATGAGAATGATGGATTTGGTCTTATCTTTAGTTAATAATGGCCTAACCACGTTTGTAGATGAGATCAAGTCAGTTAGGAACCCCTAGAATGGATAAGACGTGCGAAAAACTGCTTTAAAATCGAAAGATGCATCCTGGGGTCGAAACAGCGCGGGGGACTCAGGTCGGACAAATACGACCTGCGCTTGCGCGGGTCGGTCAGATCTGACCAGCACTGGCGTGGGTCGGATTAATCTCACCCACGCCGGCACAGGTCGGATTTGTCCGAACCGTACGAGCACGAGGAATCCGGTCTTCTGTTGAACTTCTGTGTTTTCTGACTTTCTGGGACTTGTAGTTTCTCCCGTTTCATTTACTCGCCCGTCGTGTTGACTTGTACGCTCCGCGCGAGTTAATTGACGTGCATTGATTGACGCCAGTGTGCTGATTGGCGCGCGCGTATTGACCGTAGCGTGCAAGCTGAATGATGCGCGCGAGCTGATTGACGTGCGCGAGCTGAATGATACGCGCGTGTTGACTGACACGCGCGAGCTAAATGATGTGCATGTGTTGAACGACGCGTGCGAACTGATAGACGCACGTGAACTGATTGACGCGCGTGAGCTGAATGATGTGCGTGTGTTGATTGACGCACGCGAGCTGATTAATGCGCGCGTGTTGACCGACGTGCGCGAGCTAACTGGCACGCGCGAGCTGACTGTTGAGCGCATAGCTACTTTGTTCGTTGTTTTGCTTCATGCGCTTGTCGGCGTCAGATAATCCTCTTAGACTCGGCTAACGACGTTTATCGTCTTCTCTTTGTCTCGAGCTGTGTGCGGACACCTATATGCATTTTTAGACGCCTACAGATACCCCCTCCAAAGTATTTCAGACTCATTCTTTTATAGAGGAGTCTGGAATGCTTTGGATATGATAGTCCCCTACCTTTAGTCGGTGTCAAAGGACCTGTGAACTGCTTCAATTCTTGACTTCTTCAGTCTTCAGTCTATCCAGTGTTTTGTCGAATAGATGAAGTTCTTCCGGCACTGCGTTTATCGTCTGATCGTTGTCAAAATCTTGAATTAAAGTTGGTGTATAAGTTTCTGAACTTAGCTCATGTCATTGAGTCGACTTTGAACTGATCATCTTTATCAGAAATTCATATCTGAATGCGATTGAACTCCCTGAAATCATCATTTGCCTTATTTTGGCGAGATTGCTGATACGTTGACCGACATCGATCTTTACTGTAACGCGTTGTGCGACGTTGACTTTTGTTGTAGTCTACACAGTTTAAGCTCTTAAGGTGTTGGAGCGTGGCGGTCCCAAATGCTGGGGCTGCAGGACCAACTTGTTAAAGCTGATTCATCTGCATGTATGAATCTTATCCTGATGTTGTTGGATACTAAAGTCACGAGACCAACTAACAGAGCTGGTGCGTTAATGACTCATATTTATAGAATTTTTGGCAAATTCTCAGCCATCAACGGGTTTGATGAGCCTTTACCGACTACCGTTTGAGTCGGACTAGCATGCAGATTGTTTAAGTCTATTCCGCATGTGACGTTGTGCTAAGAGAATTAACTCACTTAGACTTGGTGCTATGACTTTGAATACATAAACTTCACCATTTTTTATGGGAATATGGCATCCGGCAACGTGTATTAGGCGCTGACTCATCCCTACTTAGGATTCGGGGTAAAAATCCCCAGACTTGAATTCTGGTGTCTTCTTCAATCGGTAAAAGACTAAACCGACAACGCGTATTAGACGTTGACTTATTCCTGCTTAGGATTCGGGAAAAAATTCCCCACGCGTGTAAGACATGGATTATGGTGTTATTAATAACAACCTGCCACAATGTCGAATATATGGGTTTTTGTCCTTTTTACGGCAAAAGACTAACCGACAACACATGTTAGGCGCTGACTTATCCATACTTAGGCTTCGGGATCAAATTCCACAGACTGAGATTCTGGTATCTTTTTCAATCGGTGAAAGACTAAACCGGTAACGCGTGTCAGGTGTTGACTTATCTCTATTTAGGAGTCGAGATAAAGTTTCCCACGCATGTAAGGCGCGGATTTTGGCATTATTAATAACGGTCTGCCATAATGTCGAATATGTGGGCTTCTGTTTTTTTTTACGGAAAAGACTAACCGGTAATGCGTGTTAGGCACTGGCTTATCTCTACTTAGGCTTCGAGATCAAATTCCCCAAACTGGGATTCTGGTGTTATTAATAACAACCTACCACAATATCGAATATGTGGGCTTTTATCATTTTCGCAGCAAAAGACTAACCGACAACGCATGTTAGGCGCTGACTTATCCCTACTTAGGATTCATGATAAAATTCCCCGCGTGTGTAAGACGCGGATTTTGAAGTTATAATGTTGAAATATTGTGTCTTCTCTTAGGGTAAAGATAAACCCAAAATGGTAGAGGAAGAATTTTATATTCTATCTCTCGAAATTAAAGAGGAAGAATTTTATATTCTATCTCCAGTGCAGAGGAGATTCAAAGTGGGATCTCCACTTTGAGAATCTAAAGACAGTGAGATCTTCACTTCGAGAATTAAAAAGATTCGGATAATCCTAATTGTCGAAAGGTTTGATTACCGAACTAAAGGTGAATTTCTCGTTTATCGAGAGTGAATTCTGATTTTAACCTTAACTGTAGGAAGGTTTGACCAAACGGGAGTTTGAGGTGACTCTAACTGTAGGAAGGTTTGATCACTCGATTTTAAAGTTGATCTCTCATTCATTGGAAGAATCGAGAGGGGATTTTAGTTTTGGCCCTAACTGTAGGAAGGTTTGATCGAGCGGGAGTTTGAGGTGACACTAACTATAGGAAAGTTTTGTTAGACCCTAGAGGAGGGGGGGGGGGGTGTAGGGTCTTAAGACAATAATTGTGCAATAAAAATTAAGACAAGCAAATACCACAAAATATAATGCTAAAATAAAGGAGATAAGATAGAAATCGTTATCCAAATGACACGCGATGTGTTCACGAGGTTCGGCTCTCTAGCCTACGTCCCCGCTCCCCACTCTCGAGGAGAATCCACTATACAACCCGGTTTAGAAGCTGGAACTTCTTCTACACAGCGATCTCCACGAGATCTCACGACACAATTGATCTCCACGAGATCTCACGACACTGTTGATCTCCACTAGATCACCACACAATCAATGGTAGCAAATAAAGAATTTCTCTCTCTTACAACAGCCCTATGGCACTACCACATAATTGATCTATTACAGCGGTTAAGGTACAACGGTTTTAACTATTGCGTTAGATATCTATCGCAACGGTTTACAATACGTAATGCAACAGTTTATAAAAAACGTTGCCAAAGGCCTAATAATTGTCCCTGGACCTAATAATTATTCCTGGGCTTCGGGAGCAAGTTTTTAAAGCCCACGGCCTGACCGATTAACGAAAAATCTCTCTCTCAAATCTAGAAGACTTTTGGCCCTGGCCGCTTAACGAAATCCATAAAATTTTCCGCTCCCTAAAATCGCCGTGGCCAAGATCAACATATAATCGTCGATCTCATCATTGAATCTCATCTCTGCTCTCTTCACCTGGATTTCGATTTCGAAAACCCTAGAATTCTTCTTTGAGTCCACGAGCAAGGTCGATTTGATACAAGGGAAGCCCTAGCTATCCTCTCAACCTCGATCTTCATCCAATCTCAAGTAAGTTCGTGATTATTTAAGTATGTTTTTAGAAATTTCTGCGTGGATCGATTGATTTTCAGAAAAAAATATGTTAGATTGCTAAACATATTCAAGTGTTTGTTGATTTATGAACTCAAGTTTATCCAAAATTGCTGATTTTAAACACTTGATTTTCCTTGGTTGCAATTTGCAGCTTACATCACTTATAGATACAAGACCTAATTCTTATAATTTGTCCATTATTTTAGGGCGGATTTGGTGCCAGCATATGTTAGACTACTTCGTGATATTGAGGCTGAAGTACGCATATCAAGTTTTGCCAGATCTTGGACCCACAGCTTGCAATTGGTTCTTGTGGTCTGTGGTAGAAATTTGATGAATCAAATAGATAATCAGTTTACTGCACTTTCACCTTTACTTGGTACTCTCTAATTCATTACCTAGTTCTCTTCCTTTGTTACTCATATTTGGGTGGAGGTGCTACTTATCTTTTTGGTTTAAGGGGCCTCGATGATTTCTTAAGCGTGAGACTTTTACCATTTTACTTATGTGATTAGCGTTTCTCTTTACCATCAATGTGCAGATCCTAGAGGGGCTCCTTAAATTGCCAGAGAATAAACAGTGTGCTGATTGCAAGGGAAAGTAAGTACATACTTACATTTTGAAATCTTAATTTCCATTTCAGTTGTGGCATTCCAAGTAGTATAATGATGAACAAGGTTTTCTAATGTCAATAAATAAGTTAATTTACCATTTAGTAACAGGTTGAATGGATTATTGCCTTTTGCCATTCCAATTCTTGATAAAAGCAATAGAATATGTTGTAATGATACATTATACTGCACTTAATTCCTTCTCTATTTATTCAATGAAAGTTTAAAGTAATTTTGTTTTATAATCTGTATTGTGTGATTCAGAACTCTCTTATTAGTGAACATCTTCCCTTTCGACATTACTCCCATCAGGACATTTTTTTGATAATCTAGCAAGTACACTACTATTAGTAATTTACCTTTGTACAAAGGATGTCAGTCTCCTCGATCTTCACAAGGCTGAAAATGATTCTTATCTCCTGCTCGGTAGGTAGAAAAGGAACGAAGCATGTGAAGCCTAATTTTTTTCTTAAAAGAATGTCCTAGGCTGGTTCTATTCTCTTTCAGCGGTTTAAGATCCGCCTAATTGCTGGGAAAAAATGCACTAATAAGTGGACAATATATTGTCTTCAGATCTTCTTGATGTGGACATGAGCCATTGAAAACTGTTGGACTGTTTATCTTCTTTAACTTGTAGGCTTGTTCAAATACTTAGGGATCACGTCTGTTTGAATAGTAAAGTGCTAGTTTAGCTGCTTTACTGTGGCCATTTGAGTATTATCTGTATAGAGATAGTCTTACCCCAAGAGCTAAGCTGGAAGGCATGTATAGACTTGCCATAGTAAAATCTGGAAGATTCTAGTTTGGTCTGTCACATTGAAAGAAGAATATTGTGAAGTTGTGACAATTCTCCCTGCAGAAGTCAGCTATCTTTTGGTTGTCTATCTCTTCCTTTTGTTACTTTTTCTCTTAGGAGATTAACTAAAGTGACGTTCAATGTGCCTTTTGTACCAATCGACTAGACCTTCTAATTCATCTATTGCCACTTACTTGAAGACAAAGGAGTATATATTTACCCGTTGATAGAACCTTCTATTCAAATACTAATACTTTTTCTAGTCATACTTACTAATCAAAGGCTTCCTGGTGAGGCATTTACACCATACACTTTTTGAGATTTCACATTATTAGATCCATATGTATTATATTGTTTAGATTGTAAGATTCAAATTGTGTAATGATGTTGGATTTTAGGATCCAGCCCATTGTGAACAGGTTTTTCTGAGTGTTGTAAAAACTGTAAAAGGGATCATGATATCTTTCACCTTGGAATTTCCAATGTTATATTTCAAGTTTAGTTTGTACTTCTTGATGCTGACCATGACTTATCTTTTTGCAGAGGTCCACGATGGGTAAGTGTGAACTTAGCTTACTTTCAAGTTTGCTTACACGATTGAAAGTCAACTTAGCTTTCCTCTGTCTAGGAATGCGAATGAGTCACTGAAATGCAACATATACTTGCCTCAGCTCTGATTTGTCAAACTAGTATCTATTAGAATTTTGATGCATCTCAATAACTGCTTCGTGTCAACTGCAGGTAAGATCTGCAACCCTGGACACATGGCTTCCAGAGCAGGTTGCATTTATTCAATGTAATTCTTTGCACCTTTTAGCTACTTCAAATTACATGTAGTATGCGATATGTTTTTATACTCGTGCTTATTGTATAGACATTTGTATTGGCACATGTTTGGGGTGGCTGATTTGTTTTAATTGGCACTGGTCATTCACAGCAATGGGAAATGAAAAGGCAAATAGCTATTGGGAAGCAGAACTACCTCCAAACTATGACAGAGTTGGAATAGAGAACTTCATTTGTGCAAAGTACGCTTGCTTCTAATTCTAATTTTCTTGTACTGTGATTCTTCATAGTTCTACTTAAGATTTGTATAGCTGGATGCGGTAGCCTGAAAAATAGTTCAATCGCCAGATATGAAGATAAAAGATGGATACCTAGAAATTCTACTACAAGATCACATTTACAGTATGGAGAAGAGAAGGTTTCTGAATATAAGGAAAAGCCTGATGATAGGCGTGCACAAGGTTCTATTAATAAAGCAGATTCTCCTGGGGAGCACAAAAGCCCTAAGCAACAGGGTCCAAAGAAAACCAGCCTAGTAGTCCCAAAGTTACCTACTCCGGTAAGACATGTACGATCTTGTTTATTGTCTATAGTTTATTTATTTTTATTCTCAGATATAGATTCGTGAATATGATCTTTGCGAATGAATCTTTTTTATGTTTGATAGCTTGATTTCTGGTGAGTTTATCATGGTAGAAAATTGCTTGAAGTGGAATCCTGTTATGTAGATTACTCTCTTAATAGGCTTAATTAAGTAAGTAATCTTTAATTGCCAAACATAAAAAGGAAAAAAGAACTAACCCTTCATTTTCACTAACCAATCTAAACAGAATTTATTTATTTTAACCCCTCACGCCTATAGGTGTAACAAATTATGATTTACAAATTATGATCAAATTGACCAACACCCAACACAGATCTCTAACCCAATTCTAAAAAAAATCCAAACAAATCACAATTTTTATTAATGCATGTATTCTCGAAAATGTATTCGTTTTAGTAAGCTATTGATGAGAAACATCTGGCTTCTATTTTTAACTTGAACTTAAATTATTGTTTTGGACGATGGAACTTCGCTTCTATATACGCATATGCTACTTCTCTATCTGAGAGTCCCATATTGTTGATGGTTTTCTAGTTATAGTTTATACTATAAATAGTAGCATGTATACCACCAAAATGGGATCAGGTATAACCTCAATTTATTATATCAATTTTATGCAATTACTATTGTTGCAAATACTTTCTCTTATAAAAAAGTACCTGGTAAGAAATGGTTTGTTTGAACTTAATTCCTGTGAGATCATGATGGATGGTGCATAATTTGTTGAGTCTGATGTCCAATTATGGTATGTTTTTGTAAAAGGAAAAAAAATCCATTGTTCGAGTACAACAGGTCTTTGTGCTATGAACTTTTTTAGCATGTTATTTGTGATCCATTCAGAATATTTTCTACATGGTAGCTTTTAATATAATCTGATATCATTTACATGATCAGGTGTTTAAAAGAATCCTCAAAGCATATGCAACAAAACTTTATTCTCGATTACCCAAGGGGGGTTCAGGGCTCGTTGCAGTTGCTACTGGTACAAATGGGCAAATCAAGGTTATGTAAGCGCTCTTTTACTTGTTGCTTGTAAGTAACAATTCTTTTTGAAATTCTCTGATTTTGTTATGTAAGTTTACACTTGTATTAATAAATCAATTACTTCCCTAAATTGCAGGTTCCTAGTGAGTATTTGACAGGTTCCTAGTGAAATTGGCGAAATTGGCGATTGAGGCTGACAGGTTCCTAGTGAGTATTTGACATTGAGGCACAAGTTTTTGGAAACAAATAGAGAATATAAAGTCTTTGTCCGAGAAGTTTCATGTTTTGTAATCAAATGTTGATGTTGTTTGAATATTAGTTCGGTACGATATTTTCTGAGTTGAAATGTTGGTAGTGTGGATTTTATACTTTGTAGTTTTTATACTATACCGATGTATGTTGGCACTTATCATTATGGTTGATTATGCTCAACATTTTCACTTTGATATTGTGTATTTAAATTTGACTTGGGCCATGTTCTTAAAAAGATTGTCCAGGTAATTGAATACTATATGATTTTGACGTAGGGAACCAAGAACAACTCAATCGGAGCCGTTGCAATAGCTCAATCAAAAACGCTGCAATAGCTCGATCAAAACTGTTGCGATAGCTCTATCCAAACCGTTGTGTTAGGTCTTTTAAAACTACTGTAATAGCTAAAAAACCGTTGCAGTAGCTTGAAAACCGTCGCAATAGCTCAATCAAAACCGCTGCAGTAGCTTAAAAACCGTCGCAATAGCTCAATCAAAACCGTTGCAATGGCTTAAAAACCGCTTGCCTTTTAAAACCGTTGCGTTAGATGCGGGGGCAACGGTTCAAAAAACCATCACAATAGAGTTCAAAACCGTTACGGTAGAGGTAGGGCAACGGCAGCATATGAGGCGGTTTGAGAACCGTCGCACTTGCTCAAGGGCGACGGTTCCATGGCTAGCGCAACGGTTTTGAACCGTTACGTTAGAGCAAATATGTGGTAGTGTGGTAAGGAGAGAGATTGCACTTGAAGCTTTGGATGTGGGATGTGCAAGTATAAAACAAGGAATTGTATTTTGAAAGTTTAAGGCTCTTGAACTCAAGAATTAAACACAATTGATTTTTCTCTTGCAAAGTTGGTAGGAAAAATAAATGGGGTAGTTGGGTATTTATAGTGCAAAATAACAGCAGCCAAAACCCCAAAGAAATCATCAAAATACTCCAAAATCCGGTTTTCTGAAACTAGCTGTTACTGTGCAACGGCTCTCTGATAAGTTGACTTATGAGTCGACTTATGAGTCAGCTTATATGTGTCGACTCAGCAGAAGAAAAATCGCAACTAGGCTGCACTTCGTGAGTCGACCTATGAGTCGACTTATGAGTCGACTGAACATGCACAGACAAGATTTGCATAGGAAAACTAAACTTAAAAACATGTTTAAAAATATCAGATAAATTCTAAAAAAATATGAAACTTTAGGAATAGTTTATAATCATTTTGATAAACTTGTTTGAAAAGGAATTTTGCAAAAAGGTCCTCATATTTATGAAAAACATCATTTTGACAAAAGTACCAAAATACAAGTTTTGAAAGTGTGCAAGTGTGTGTGATATCCCGAATAGCTTCAAATAAAATCTACAACTACTTGCCTACAATCTAGCACTAGAGAGAAAAGAAAAACTAACAAATATCCTCACATAGAATAACATTTCTTTGAGTCTTGATATTGCTTTGATTTGATGAAGCTTTCACTTGTATATGTTGTTCTTGATTAACATTTGCTTCATCACATTGCCTCCACCTTCTATAAATATTGACGTTGTAACTCATATTCCATCCAATCCTCCATAAATGTTACTAACAAGCTTGATAAACATATTAACTATAATATCACTCAACAAACAATTAGTACCGATAATGGTAGTTGTAAATTATCATCAAAACATAAGGACTAATAATCTCCCCCTTTTTGATGATGACAACCAACCATTATTTATGAGCTTAATAAATATAGCTCATAGATAGGTGCTCCCCTATCTATGAGCTCCCCCTTACTATGTTCACAAATGAGGACAAATGAGGAGATTTCTCTCCCCCTTTGTCACCATCAAAAAGTGGGGAAATAAAAAGAGAAACATACTTAAATACATAAAATATACCTCAAGTGTTGGTCCTCACGTATCACCTCCCTCAAGTGCTCGGAATTACCACCTCTCACTAGGTCACCAACACCACTTCTCTCAGTATCGACTACGTCCTCACCACACACTCCTCTTAGCAATTTGTATGTGCTTAAGCATGTTATGAAAATGAGGCATATATAATATGTGACCAAGCAAACAAGCAAGCAAAAAGATTTTTAAATAATGCATAGGCCCAAACCATTTCTTATGCGACAAAAATCTTCTTCACTAAGAGGTTTGGTAAAGATGTCCGCTAATTGAGATTTAGTATCAATATGAATAAGGGAAACATCTTTTCGCTCTACATGATCACGTAAGAAATGGTGACGTACATCAATATGCTTGGTTCTAGAGTGTAAAATGGAATTTTTGGAAATGTTTATAGCACTAGTGTTATCACAAAAAAATTTTGTATTTTGAAAATGCAAGTCATAATCAACCAAACTTTGTTTCATCCATAAAAGTTGGGCACAACATAAGCCGGCGGTAATGTATTCCGCTTCCGTAGTGAACAAGGCAACACAATTTTGTTTCTTAGAAGCCCAAGAGATAAGAGAGTTACCCAAGAATTGACATGTACCACTCATACTCTTACGATCTACCTTACAACCGGCAAAGTTGGCATCACAAAAACCATAAAGATCAAAAGAGATGCTTTTAGGATAAAATAAACCAAGATCAATAGTACTATTTACATATTTAATAATTCTTTTAACCGTAAGTAAATGAGATGTTTTAGGAGAAGCTTGAAAACGTGTGTTTGGGTCAAAAGTTGATATTTTCATTAGTGACGAACTCATTACAATTTCAGCCATTACAATAAGTTCAAAAAGAAAGAAAGTCGATCTTTTTATAAGATCTCCTTTACACAATAAAAATAAAGATTACAACTCTTGTCAAACAGCACAACGGATGTTTATCACCCGCTGCTTGCGTGGGAACTTTGTCTGTGCCGGGGACGTTAATATCCGTGGACCGCACGGATCAGATCCGGTTGACAGATTAGTGATCAAAACTCTTACTTCACGAAGGAAGTAATCGCTGCAGCGGTGATCTCGACCAAGCGAGATCACGGCTCTTCTCGAGATTTAAGACCAAGCTTAAATCCGGAGGAATGGGGGACAGGTCTCAGATCTCTCAAACTCCACTATTCATGCACAGGAGATCGCCGAGATCTAGCTAACCCTCTCTGAAATTCGTGGCTATGCACTCGAGAAACCGGCAGCACCTCGCCCTCTTGATCTTCTCGCCACTCAAAAATGAACACTCGAGCTCTTATTTATAGGCTTGGTTGATGGTTTTTTTCAATTCAAAACGAGGGATCCCCTCTATCTTCAGTTAACAACTGCATAACCACTGTATCGATCAGTTGGAACGCCCAAATCCCAAAAGAATCCATAAAAGAACCGAAAAAACCGATTCTGACCAATTCACCGAAGTGGCTCGACCTTGGCCGAGCCACCAAATGGTGGCTCGGCCTGGCAATAAACCACTCAAATGGTGGCTCAGCCCGGCCAAACCACTAAAATGTGGTGGCCCGTGCCGAACAACTGGTCTGACCGGATAATTTCGACGCATCCCGGTCGCCAGAGGCTTTCGTGGTTTTCTAGAGTTCGGCTCGTTCCGTCGTTACGCGTATTTCGTCATTTCATTGATCTGTACGTTGTTTTGGTGGCCGATGAGCGTGCGGGCCACTTGGTTTGCCGATTTGGTGGCTGGTGAGTATACGGGCCACTTGGAGGTGACCGATGAGCACGCAGGCCACTTGGTTCGCTGATTTGGTGGCTGGTGAGTACACGGGCCACTTGGAGGTGGCCGGTGAGTGCATAGGCTATTCGCTTCGCCGTTTCGCTTCATGTGTTCATCGGCATCGGATAATCCTCTTAGACTTAGATAATGGCGTTCATCACCTTCTCTCTGTCTCGAGCTGTGTGTGGATACCTATAGGCACTTTTAGACGCCTACAGATACCCTCTCCAAAGTATTTCAGACTCATTCTTTTATGGAGGAGTCTGGAATGCTTTGGATATGATAGTCCTCCGCCTTTAGTCGGTGTCAAAGGACCTGTGAACTGTTTCAATTCTTGACTTTCTCAGCCTTCAGTCTATCCAATGTTTTGTCGAATAGATGAAGTTCTTTCAGCACTGTGTTTATTGTCTGATCGTTGTCGAAGTCTCGAATCGGAATTGGTGAGTTAGTTTTGGCTCGTGTCATTGAGTTAACTTTGAACTGATTATCTTTGTCGCAACGCGTTGACTGGCGTTGACCTAGGGCTATGCGTTGCTCGGCGTTGGCCTTAGGGTTTTGTATCGATCGACGTTGACTTTCATCGCAACGCGTTGACTGGTGTTAACACAGTTTATACTCGTACGTTTGCTAGAGTATACACAGTTTAAGCTCTTAAGGCATTGGAGCATGGCAGTCCCAAATATTAGGCTGTAGGACCAACTATTAAAACTGATTCATCTGCACGTGTGGATCTTATCCCGAATTTGTTGGGTGTCCAAGTCACGAGACCAACTAATAGGGCTGGTGCGCCAGTGACTTTCGCATATATAGGATTTTTGGCAAACCCTCAGCCATCAACGGGTTTGATGAGCCTTTACCGACTACCGTTTGCGTCGGACTAGCATGTGAATTGTTTAAGTCCGTTCCGCATGTGACGTTATGCTAAAAGAGTTAACTCTTTTAGTGCTACGATATTGAATACGTAGACTTCATCTTTCTCAGCAAAAGTGTGTTCGAAAATCATAGTGGAGGTTTAGTGTTTATCACTTTGTTCGTAATGATCAGGTTATCCCTAAGAAAATTACATGTAGCATTTTTCTGGGAACTTCCCGTTACATGAATCATCCACCCCCAGCTTCCCTTGCAGAACTGGGTCTGACATTGTACTCCGTTACATGATCGGGTTATCCTTAAGAATATTACATATAAAAATTCTCCAGGAACTTCCCGTCAAAGGTAGGAAACAGTTTAGACTCATATACCTATTGGAGTATTAAGAAGCAATTTATACTCGTATACTCTTCGGAGTGTCGCCACTCTCATTGGGCTTAGTTTAGTGTTATGACACCGGCTTCAACCAAGGTTTGGATGGTATTCTTGAGAGCGAAGCAAGCCTTGGTAGGGTGAAGGATCCTCCTATGGTATGCACAATACTTTGGATCCGAAATGTTATCAGCTTCCTCCTAATTTGCGATAGGTGGCAGCTTGATCTTGTTGTTTTCAAGAAGAGATTCAAAAATGGCTGGAACGTCTTCATCCTTGAAAGAGTACTCTTTTTGGAGTA